AAGCCAGAAATGGCGCTGTGGCTCAAGTGGTAGAGCGCTCGCCTTGAGCTGAAGAGCTGAGGGACAGCGCCCAGGCCCAGAGTTCAAGCCCCACCACTGACCAAAAACAAATACACAGAAGCTCCCTCCCTCTCTCTCTCTCTCTCTCTCTCTGTCTCTCTCAGGCCTACCTGGTCCCGCAACTGCCAGCTCTCTGACACTCTGGATCGCTGGCTGGATGGCTGCCAACTGTAGACATTGGTGCGGACCAACCAGACAGCCCTGCGAGCGAGGAGGCCGAGCCAGGTGCTGCCTTGCTTAGTCTCAGCGGTACCACGAGCTTGCCGGACAGCCTCAGGTGGAAAGGGACCAAAACCCCAACTAAACCAAACCCTTGCTTCGGACGGGGGGCTCAGCATGCAGAATAAAGCGAGCTGCTGTCGCGTTACTCCATGTGGGGGGGGCCTGACGCGCCTTGGCCTGTGTTTTTCTTCCTTTCTTGTTCTTGTTGGTTTGTCTGTTTGTGCCGGTGCTGGGCCTTGAACTCACGGGCCTCCTGAGCAGCTGGGAGAGCAGGCGTGAGCCACCGGCTTTCTCCGAGAAAAGTGGTTGATGTCAGCCATCCAGGGACTCACGCCTGTCATCCCAGCCACTCAGGAGGCTGAGATCCGGAGGATTGCGGTTCGAGGCCAGCCCCGTGAGACTCTGACCTCCAATGAACCAGCAAAAGGTGGAAGTGGCGCTGTGGCTCAAGTGGTAGAGCGCCAAGGTTGAGCAAAAGAAGCTCAGGGACAGCGCCCAGGCCCTGAGTTCAAGCACAAGCACACACACACACACACACACACACACACACACACACAGGGACATTGCAGAGATTTCCCTCCCCAGGAAATGGGGAGTTCCTGCACTTTTAAATCCAGAGAGAGAGAGAGAGAGAGGGAGGGAGGGAGGGAGGGAGGGGGAGGGGGGGGGAGAGCCAGTTTAATTAGGCCCATTTGTTTCATCCTTTGTGCAGTGAAGAAAACACTTCTAAATTGGTTCCGTTTGGGGTTTTTTTCCCCTTTAATGATTAATTTCTCACATGAGGCCGTGGTGCGCAAGGCAGACGCGAAGAACTGCTTGTATCACTGTGTCTGCCCCTGTCTGTCTGTCTGTCTGTGTGTCTCTCGCTGTGTTTCTGTTTGTCTGTCTCTCTCTGTCTCCTTTCTCTGTGTCTGTGTCTGTCTGTATCTGTTTGTCTCTCTCTCTGTCTCTTCTGTCTGTCTGTCTGTTTCTGTCTCCGTTTCCCTCTCTGTCTTCTTGTCTGTCTCTCTGTCTCCCTCTCTGTCTCTCTGTCTCTGTCTGTCCTGTCTTTGTCTTTCTCTGTGTCTGTCTGTGTCTGTCTGTGTCTGTCTGTCTCCTCTCTCTCTTCAAGACAGAAGACACCCAGTTCCTTGAGCGGTGCTGGAAATGTCTCTCCAGTTTCTCCCAACATGTCGCTGTGGTCATCTTCAGCTTGGGGACTCGGCTGGCGCCACCCCTGCCCCAAAGCGGCTGCTCCCCACCAGCCTGGGGTCTGGGGAGCCCTCCTCCCTCCCTCCTCCCTCC